AACGATAGCCATTGTCATAAGTTTGTCAAATAATTTTAGTTTCTTTTATTTCTGATGCGCTTCTCTTGTGATTACGTAAATCCAGATAAATTTGAATAATTGATTAAAACTTTTCGCCAACGACATTATATAAGCGAAATTAAGTGAAAAATATGCGCTTAACTCTTTTATTTTCCATAAAAACGCGTCAAAACAACCAATAGTATACAACTTTTAAAATGCTAATATTTTATGAATATGAATTTTTTGCCGTTGATAATCCAATGAATGCCGACTACTTTTAAGAAATAAATGTTTTTCGCAAAAATACAAATATTATTAAAATAAGCTGATAAATGTTAAAGTATTCCATCTTTTACCAAATGCGTAGCTTTTACATTAAAACCCCAACGATAATGGGATAAGAATTAAAAGAGAGATAAAAATTGACTTTAAAATATTGAAAATCTATTAACTTTCCAAAGCCTAATATTAATAATATTCAAAACAATCAACATAAAATATTATTATCATAACAATTGCAGTAGAACTGACAACTCGAATGTGTCATGATACTTGATATTATGTGTACATACCGAGAAAGAGGATAGAATATCTAAACTATCAAAATCGTAATTGATTATATTTGATATATTATTGTTTATATGAAAAATACTTGAATGCAAATAATTCAATTATTTTACATTTAATAATGTTTAGATTTAATCGAAAATTCTCTTATGGTTGATAACGAATAAATATTAATTTATTATATTATATAGTTAATTAACATTACAATATAATATACAATATACTGTAATAAATATAATTTTATTATATTCCTATTTTTTATCAGAATGATGCGTATTATAAAATTCAATTAAACAAAAATATTCAATTTGTGCAATAGTTCTTTTAACTATCCCACAGATACTTTTTTTATAATAATTCTTATATCTTTTCTATATTATTGATATAAATGATTGCATGCGATTGCGACTTGTCCTTTTTTTAATTTTACAATATTAAAAATTTTTGCACACTCGTTTGTTATAAATTAAATGTTTAATTTACCAATATAATTTATCATAAAAATTATACGAATTAACATAATCATTATTAAAAATTATACTCTTTGACTTTCAAAAACCTGTATATTTCGGTATGTGTTTAACGAACGAAACAACTGACAGGTTTATTATATAATAAAATTAGATAACAATTAATACAATAAATACAAGTTAGCGAAGCTTATTTTTGTAAGTCAGCGAATACTAAGTACTTGGTTATTTATTATGAAAATTTCAATTAGACCTTCTTACATTCTCTATACAGCGAGCAATAATTTTTGGCAAACTTAACGAACTTTAACAGCAACTTGTGCGTTATAATAAATAAATGATAGTAAAGTATCTGTGATTAATTTTTCAAATATTTTGTATGGCAAATTCAGCAAGTATAAGAAAAATTTTGAAAGATTTTGATTATACGCCAGTAAGGATGTTTCTAAACAAACGATAATCTGCCCAAGTTTTTATAACGAAAATGTTTTGATAGAAATACTCTATTATGTAAAAATTCGTATCTTCCAAAATTCTATCCAAAAAAATAATGATATGGTTTTATCATTATCATAGCCATCATCATTATCATTATAATAATAATAATTATTATTATTATTGCTGTTGAAAATCATTAATATTATTATAAACATTGTACGTAATTAATTACATAATTTATAATTATTATATTATTAATTATTAATTATTACTGTAAGCTATTGTATTTGTTGATTTTAATATACAATGCTTAATAAAGCCGTTAATGCGATAAGAGAAATTTTTATAAATCTTATAATAATTTTAATCGATTGCTTATGACGATTTAATATTGTTATCGATAGGAAAACATAATAAATTTAAATCACACAATCGTTTACTTTGAGGCTGAATATTTTGAAAATCAAACATAACTTTGTATAGTTGAAGCTATCGTAGGATGAAAATCAAATTCGTCCATCGAGTTTTTCCGATAATATAAATTTGTACAGATTATAAAGTTTACTCGTTACCAATAATATAGTTAACGTTAAATTTGCAAATTAATTAATACTTATTTTCAAAATGAAAATAATAGTAATTGTAGGCTGTGAAAATTTTGTCCATTTCATTATTAATTAGTATTATATTATTTAAAAGGGAAAGTCAAGCAGGTAACGTGAGTAATTAATGTTAAAGTTTCGTCAAAAGAGAAATTAATTTTCCTATAGAGAAATTTTGATAACTGACTCGAGTATTCCGATTAAATTGTTTAGAACTAGCAGCAACTCTTTAAACCTATAACTCCGTTATCGATTTTATTATATATTTGCTTATAATCTAAATGAAATTTACTCAATCGACAATAGCGTCTTGATCACTCATCGCTGTTGCTCGATACCGATTGTTTGATTTAATAAGTTTTGAGCAACTGGAATGCAAGGCTTACATTATGTTGCAAAAAAATTTTTTTTTTATCTCATTGACGCGCAATTGACGTCCTTTAATACGACGATCCCAGCAATAACGATCCGATCCCGAGATAAAAATAAAGCGCACGACGAGGCAATTTTCAAATCGTCCTTTCCTCAAATCTCGTCCGAATTAAAGTCCATCTAATTAGCCGACAAAATCAATTGCAACAGTCGGCTATTAAGAGCTGCCTAGGTGGACAAATTTTCAATTCCCCATGATCTTCTCGTACAACTAGTTGCAAAACAATCTTCTACACGTCGCTTAAGCCCATAGCCGAGATTATTAGAAGTCGTCTCGTTAATTGGGAGAGTCCCCGCACGTTGTACGTATAAATCAAAGCAAGTTTCACCGGATTACTCGTGATTACCATTAGCGAGCGCCGTGGCTGGATAATTCCACTTTGTTCGCGGAATTACGCGATGGCCCTCGCGTTCGCCCATTATCGTCGCGCGCTTAGTTACGCAAAACGTTACGATATCTCACTTTACCCCGAACCCAAAATCCATCCTCCCGCGCTCGTTCTACGTCGCCAATTCCCATGGGCTTTAATTCCCGACGACGTTCCCACCTCGGGAACCAAGCCGCACGCATCCGACCAAAATAGAATGCGACGGGCGGGAACGACGACGGCGTCGGGGGCCGGGAGGAGGATGGGATGGGTTGCGACTGCATTTGACAAGGAGGGTTTGGGGGCGCGAGCCAATAAACCGATTGAGTTCGTGGAAGACGGGTAGGAAGTACCCTTCGGCCGTACCTGATTTCATAAGGTTTGGCGGTGGCAGCGACGGCGGAGACGGCGCTTGGACCCCTTGGGGTATCTGTACCTGCGCGGAAAATTAAGTGCCGTAGGAATGCCAGGCTGATCTCTCGACTCGTCGTACACGAGTACGACAACGGTCGAAATTGTGGGGCAATGGTTAAGGGGCTGGGGGAGCGGGGGGGGGCGTCGCTTTCTTGAGAACTTTCGAATGCGCTCGGGCACGTGAAAGGTATTTGACGTGCGTCGCGCACCGGAATCTGCTCCGACGGCCGGTAACCGTCCGGATAATCGCAACTACCTCACCGCATTGAAATATTCTTTCACGTTACGGCGGCCAATCGCCGGATGAATGAAGAAAGAGAGAGAGAGAGAGAGAAAGAGAGAGAGACGTTGGAAACCAGCCGGAGCCCATGCCCATTCAATTCAATAACTTACTTCCAATCGAGCGTACTTTATGGGATGAGAATGAGAACACTCGCGTACCTTCGATACAAATATCGAGTATTCATGGTTTTTCTCGTTCCTCGCGGCAAAACGATGTACCTAGGCGCGTCACTACGCGGCCACTGGTACGAGGAAGGGCCGGTTTCTTATCAGCCCGAAAGGCTTTTCCCTCGATTAGCATAAAGCGTCGATTAGCCTGTGACGGAAGGGCTGACGAGGCAAGCTCGCGAAATGGTAACGGCCCAAGAGAAATGCCCCGGGGCTGGAGTTGGAATAAAGATCGCCGCGGCTCGTAGTGAGGAAGGAAATGGCCGCGGACTCGCCGTTACTCGAGCAACCTCGGATTCAAAACAAACGGCAGCCGCCACGCAAAACACGACGTCGGACGGCGGCTCGCGAGTGTAAAGGAGGAAAAGTCAGGCGCGAGCGAGCGCACGGGGACGTAAATATAAGAGGCGGTGGTATTTTTCGCAAGGCCTTCCTCTTGAAAGATATTCGCGCGGACTTACGATGAATGTATGCGAGGGGAAAGGCGACGGAGGTCTGTGAGAGGAAGGGGTCGACGGAATAGAGGAGGGCTGCTGCGCGCCTCTGCCGTGCGCTTTGTGCGTGATTTTTCAGGCGCTCTAAAGGAGCCGACGACCGCTCGAGAGCCGACCGAGGAGGAGGAAAAGGAAGAGGACGTTGAGGAGGAGGTGGAGGAGGTGGAGGAGGTGGAGGAGGTGGAGGTGGAGGAGGAGGAGCAGGAGAAGGAGGAGGATGAGGAGGATGAGGAGGCCAGCAGAGAAAAGATTCGTGATGCACCAAGTCCCTTGTCCGTCCGGGTCAAGGAACCTCGATCACGAAGAAGGAGGAGGTGATGGAGGAGGAGGAGGAGGAGGAGGAGGAGGAGGAGGTGCAGAAAGAAGAGACGGAACATGAAGAGGAGCAGAAAGAGGAGGAGACGAAAGAGGAGAAGGGGGAAAAGGAGAAAGAGGAGGAAAAGGAGGAAAGGGAGGAACCTTTTAATGGAGAGCCGGGCCCAAGTGGTGGAGGACGTTGCGTCGCGTCCCGGTAAATTAAATCGCTCGAAATAAGTCGTCGCGACTCCTGTAAATTTGTCACCGTCCGCGTAATTGTCGAGAGAGCCTGTAAGGACACGATTACAAGAGCAGAGCTGCTGTCGAACACCGAGGACCTGAAGGAGCACCAAAGATTTTTGCTATCGAGGAAATCGATTAGACCAGAGATCGTTAGACACTGTACGGCGGGACGGTTCGGATGACTTTGGCACGTAGCATTCGTCCGTTCGTCTCGAGACTCACCTGCGACGACCTGCAGCGTAGCACGCATCCTTGCTTCCTAGTGCCTAGGCTCGGTCTACGTAGCGCAGATACCGCTTGTTTCGCGCGTCTCTCGGTATCGGCGTCGCTCAGGTGCGGCGACGCATCCTCGTCGCCCGAGCCCCGCTCATCGACGGCGTTACGCACATAAACTCCGATCGACACCCGGTCGCTCCTGCAATACGTTCGTTTGTATACGAAGCCGAGCCAACGACTTTCGAAACAGTCCGCGTAGCTTCGTGGCGACGGCGCCAACTGCTCGCTTCGGACCTCTGAGGTAAAGCAGCGGCGGTAGCGGCGGTAGCAGCAGCGGCAGCGGCAGCGGCGGCGGCGGCGGCTGCGGCGGCGGCGGTGGCGGCAGTGGCGACGTCGATGGAAGTGGTGGTAAAGGTGGAGGTGGAGGTGGAGGTAGATATGGAGATGGAGGTGGAGGTATATGGCACACACACGGTGAGAGGCGTCACCGCGGTGGTCGTCGTGCTGCGGCAGACACACACGCGCGCGCGCGCGCACACACACGGCCGAGGGAACCTGGAGAACGCCGTAGTTACTGCCTCTCGAGCTCTTTACCTTTTGCTCGAGAGGCGACACCTCTCCCTTCCTCCCTTCCTCCCTTCCGTCGCCTCGGCCGCTTCTACAACCACCCCTCCTCCTCCTCCTCCTCCTCCTCCACAAAACCCTGTCGCCCCACCATTGTCTTCGTCACTGGCCCGCTCTATTCTGCGGAGGTAGTGCGAGCTCTTTTCCACGCGCGTCTTACCTTCTTTTCTCGGCCGTGGGTGCGCGACAGCTATTTTTCTTTGTGCTCGTGCTTTACCCGTTTTTACGCGCGCCGGGACCCCGTTCGTTTTATTTTCAGGATAAATTACTCTCCACGATATTTGAACGGCTCGGCCAATAGTGTTCTAGAGATTTCTTAAGTCCCAGTCAAATCATTTACGGTAAAAACGGCTGTTTAGCGTTCGTTGCCATTAATTGAATTAACGTTGAAGAATTAGAAAAGAGATGGTCGCTACAATTGATTTATTAAGAGCGAGCAATCAATACGTATGGTGCGAATAAACATTATTTTAAAAGATTTAACACGAGTGCTGATAAGGATATGTCGCATTATAAAAATATTTTCTGATATAAAAGACCGAAAAAAAAAAACTGCTTTTCAATCGCCCGTTATTATGAATTAAACTACTATGATAAGTGGTTACAAATTATGTTATTAAAATTATATGATAACGTGACTAATTGGCTAGCTTTTGTTTTAAAAAACGGAGTTCAAACAAATTTTTGATGAACAATGGACTTTAATTCAATTGGATACAAACGAAAAATAAAATACTCGATAATGGCTTAATATTCTATATCGAGTCCTATGTTAATACAAATGTATCCAATAAACGTGTGCGACATTATAAAGAATATAATAAATGTTAATTGTTGGCAAATGTCTAGTCAGTGGACACGAAATTTCGTATAAACGAATTTTTTTTTATAAAAATAAATACAGCGACAAAGGTAATCAAGCTGATAATAAGATACTGGGGCGAGGGAAAACTCTTGAATATTCAAATTGTGTTGTAATAGGGAATTTTACGAGATTACTTATTGAATCGTGGAGGTTGGCGGGGGGGAGGGGGGGGACGCAAAAACGATACTAGACTATTTATCGGTGATAAACTATTGGCAATATAAAATCGGCATTATTCGGTGTCAGGATTTGGGAAATTTCGAATTTATTAATTCGATTTTAATAAAGACCGGATAGTGAGAAAAATTAAAAAGAAAAAAAAAAGAAAAATCCTAAAGAACAATTCGCTATACATATAATTTAAAATATTGTTGTAACAATAGTGGCAACCCGAATGATCGTTTCAAATTTCAATTCTACTTCGGGCCAATAGCAATTACTTTAACATCACTCTAAAATAAGAATCGAAATTCTATAATGATAATGATAATGATAATAATAATAGAATTTATCCGTTATTATTAGTTCTTTGCATTATCATACACTAGCTACGCACACGCTCATGCATCGAGCTAGTTGATTAAAATTAAAATGAAAAATTCAAAGCCAGTAACTCCACCCGATTTTTAATTTTACCGAAGAATCAATGACTCGTTAATGTGAAATGTTACAGGCTCGCGCGGAAGGTCTCGTTCGTCACAAACGCCGCTCTCCCCATTCGTTACAATACATTATTCACTGAGCTCCTTTTCAACTCCTTCGTCTCTGGACTATTTATGCATAGAGCAGCGAATCCTCAACAAAATCTCGCTTATTCGCGCGGGACGAAAGTACGGAGTGCACCTCGTTGCTCACGGGCCTGAAATTCCATAGACAAGAATAACAGTTAGCAGAGAAAAGTACTAGCCACTATGTTGCAGTATGAGCCACAATAGTTGTGTGGCGTTTTGTGGTGTTTCAGGGATGAAGCCCCGTGAGTTTACTCTTTTCTTTACTGAGCGTCCGGCTATAGTTGGTGATTGGGGCGGGGTGGGGGATGGGGATGGGGATGGGGATGGGGATGGGGGGGAGGGAGGGAGGGAGGGAGGGAGGGTAAGGTGAGGTGAGGTGAGGTGGTAGTGTCTGTAGATAATGCATGCTTTTAAACACTCAAAGACCCGGTTTTTCCGTGCCTCCGACGTATTCTTCGACTCTCGCTTTAGCTTTCTTCGGGTCTGTTGCCGTACAAAATACTTTTTACCTCGGAGTGAAGGGGAGTGACGCTGCGTAGGCCTCGATCACTTACAGCGACTTGTGGAGTAACAGCTTCGAAAGCTTACGCGCTTAACTTTAAAAGCGAATCCTCGTAATAATAAGAGTGGAGGCAGATTTTCATCCTATTTTATTTTGCTAATAGAAATTCTTGTTGCCGAGATTCGTTTGTAATCGTGTCGTATTGCATCGACTTGTTGTCCTTCCCTCCCTCCCCCCCCCTCCCAATGCATTTACATCTATTATATTTTGCATTCATCCAGCCAGTCAACATCTCTTTTCTCGCCTGACAAAGTAATTCGTAAAGCATAATGCTAAAGTACATTAAATAAATTTAATTAGACGATGCGCCGCATAGCCGCCGAGAAGCCTTTGAAGAAGTAAGCTGATAAAGTGTTGGATATCGTTAATCAAATTCGCTTGTAATGAGGCTGAAAGGAAATATTAGGACGTCGCCTAAATTTGGCATACTTTAGCTCAAGCGGCCATTAACGATACTTTGCGCGAATATTATTTAATGCGTTCGATTAACTTACGCGATCGATAAAATGACGACGCATAGAAGGAACGACCTACTGAATGAACGAGGCTGGTTAAAAAAAAAAAAAGAAGAAGAAGAAAAAAAATAAGAAAAAAAAGAAAGAAAAAAGAAAGAAAAAAGAAAGAAAAAAGAAAGAGAAGAAGAAGAAGAAGAAGAAAAGAACATTCCTAGTCGCGAGCAAACATTGTCAAGAATTCATTCGGCAATAGCCTGACGAATAAAAAATATGGCGAACTCGGGTGAATGAAATTAAGTACGTTCCGAGATGCAGCTAGTGGCTTGGAAGTAACGAGGCGAGTGCGTTTATTCGCAAAAATGCATGGTAGGGGGGGGGGGGGGGGGGGGGGGGGGGGGAAGATCGAACATCCTTGGATGACGCTAGAGGCGGTTAAGAGCGCAATACGAACGCATGTTGGCATACGCGAGGGATTGGCCCGTGGGTTCGCTGTTGTTGCGAAAGGAGTTGAAAAGCGTTGGTCGTAGGAAGGAAATGGGCAAGTCGGCGGAAAGAAGGTGAAAAAGCGGAAGCCCGTTGATAAGGTCTCGCGGGGCCGTTGATTACGATTGCCGCGCGACAGCGATACGTGCGATACGTGCACACAGTGGTGTACTATACGCACACTAACGTAAAAGCGACCGCGAGTGTGTACGTCCGTCGGCCGCTACGAATTTACCGTTTCGATTCTTATCGAGTGGCCGATTTCACAATCTCCGACATTTTTATTTCTTCTTTATTTACGCTTGTTCCATCGTAATGGCCGTAGGCCTCGTGCGAGTCCTTTTCTATGGCTAAGCAGTCTTTGCTCAACTACGTTCGACTATTTCATTTCGTTTTAGTAGAACAAAATGTAATGTTCGTGTGTAAGCGCTAATGATCGCTTTTGAGAATAAAGAAGCCGGTACGAGCGAGAGGCAGCACTTTCTAAATCCTGAATTAATAATATAAAATAATAATAATAAAAAAATAAATAAATAAATAAATAAAAAATAGTTATTTATCGATAGGACGAGTGCGTGCGCGAGACTTGTAATTACGGCTTAACTATTGGAATTATTACGATTATTATTAAGATACTATTATTGTCTGTTTTTGTTTAACAATCATTGGGCTCAATGAAGGAGAATGATGAGAGACTTTTTAAACTTTCTATTGTTGTTCCTTGAATAATTAATATTCACTATAATAATATTTATAACAATATGTGCATTCAATACAGTGACAGCTTCTATAGTTAAATATAGTTATTTAACATATTTTATGCTTGTATTTTAAAAGTACATTTATTTATTTATTTATTTATTTTTTTTTTTTTTTTTTTTTTTTTTTTTTTTTTGCACAATATTACAATACGAGAAACTAGTCTCTTTACTGTAGCGCATGTACTACGCTTAAGTTTTTTCGTACAACCTCAGCTATGTATTCGTAATGACTTTCTTTTCTTCTTTCTTTTTCTCTTTTACAATTGCTGCATAAAATAGCGATCGATACTTTTAATTTTTATTATAATTTTAGTCGCTACATTAATGCAAAGAGAAAAGTTTTTATTAATTAATTTATTTGTTTTTTCAATAATTCAACTTTACTAGTTCCTAATACATCTTACGCTATTTTTCTTGCATTTATTCTATTACTAACTTATACTAATGAATTATATTGCCATTCGATACGCTAGAGCCATAATAGTTCAGTAATGTTTATTAGTTTTATTTATTAGTCTTTATTTACTTGCATATTAATAGTACAATGATCAATAAGTACTAAAGCAATTATAATGATTATTAAAATACCTATACAACTACGTTGTATCGAATTGCTCAAATTCATAGGATTTTGTATTTTATAGTATTTTATGTATCATTAGTATGTAACCTTATCATTGTATTTATAAAGATAAAATAAATTCTCGAAGTCAATGTAAGAATTTGCATTGGAAATGCTTTTTACAATCATGAGCATTTACTGTGCAAATAAATCTTTTCGATCATCATTACTATTTTTATTATAACAACAACAACAACAACAACAACAACAACAACAACAACAACAACAATAATAATAATAATAATAATAATTAGATGTAGAAGAAGAAGAAGAAGAAGAAGAAGATAAAGAAAAAGAATTATAATTTAAATTATTATTGTGTACGTCATAATTGTCGTCGATACATATTTCTTTCGAATCGTATATCAATATCAATCGAATTCCTTGTTCACTGGAATTATTACGTTATTATTGCAATCTTTGCCGCTGGTACTCAATACCTAATAATACGGGAATTTTCATATTCTTTTTTTTTTTTGTATTTTTTCTCTTTTTAACTAAATACAATTGAATAGAACTACACGCGCTAATGTTATATAACCAAAAGAAAAAAAAGATTCCTCTACCGTGACAATGAACCCAAAGCCAAGAAAGTACGGGGACATTGCCGTGACCAGGATTCGAACCTGGGTTACTACGGCCACAACGTAGGGTCCTAACCACTAGACGATCACGGCTACAAGAGGTCTTGGCCACCATTGCTTATGAGTTCTATTTCTGTCCGTAAATTACACGTCTCTTTTGAAAAATGCATATTTATAATTTTATATATGTAATCGTGAATTGTCTATAATTCAGTTACCAAATCACGTTTCTCTGTGCGCTATTTCGATATGTATTATACATTTTCATGATTTTCTTTATCTTCCGGATGGCGACATCTATTATGAAACATATTTATTATCAATATATTGATTGTGTTTCAAAGCTTTAAAAAAAACTTAAATAACTCTGTGCTTATATTTCATCAAATGTTTGAACAATGTTCATGAAATGCCGTCAATTTATCAAATAACGACTCTGCGTAGTAATTTAATGTAATTGAATGATCAAGAATAGCATATTTCGCTTTGTTTACAGATTCAAATGAACTCTGACTATAAGATATGGACATTTTTGTAATTTGCCAATACATTTTTTACACGTATAGAACACAAATGTGTATAATGATATTACGTATCAATTTTTACTTATTAAGATTATTATTATTTTTTTTTTATACTATAACTCAGTAAACGTCGAAAAAAATATTAAAAAAACTTTGAATAAATTTGTCGATATTCTAAGTCCGACTTTAGGCAAATAAATTTAAACAATCATAAGAAGAAATGTAATTTTGTACAAATTGTATGCCTTTTTTGTTTTTTCTTTTAATCATCTATTGAATAGGACGATTAATCTAACCAATAATTATTTTAAATAATTTGCTACACGTAAGCTATTAATAAATTATAAGGAAAGGAATATAAATATCAATGTTTAAATGAAATCAATGTTTGAAATTATGAAACGAAGTTAAAGGTGAAGGAGTTTCGTAGTCCAGTCATCAATCTCGTAAAATGTTTATTCATATATAAATATATATATATATATATATATATATTTATACATATGTATGTGCATCGGTGTCGATAAATACGTTTTCTTTCCTCTTTTATGTTGTTCTTCTTATAAAGAACGTCAGTCAAAAACTTAGCTTAAATGAACAATTTGTGCAGATAAAAAGTAATAATATTACAAAGTTAAAAATGTTGGTGAGGAATTCACAAATACCACTAGTAGCAGCTTTGAAAAATAGGTATAAAAACATATAAAAATTAAGTTATTTCCCATGTTGTTCAACATAACCTAAATTTACTTTTATACAAAATTTCATTGAAAGTAATTCTATTGTGTCAGAAGAAATGCAATTACAACAATGTTTCATGTAATATGTAAATACTGAAATATATATAAAAAAATTTTATTTCTATTTTTACTAATGTAAAAAAAAAAAAATATATATATATATATATATATATATATATATATATGAATGCACATACTTATGCGTACGCGCGCGCGCGTGTATATATATATATATATATGCATAATCTATGCGCATAGCATGCAATGATATATATATATATATATTTTTTTTTTTATCATATTGCTTTTTTATTAAAAAATACTTGTTATATATGAAATTCTATAATTTACAGTGGACTTCACAATAAATGTAATTATTTATTACATAAATGTGGACTTGTTACTTCGTTCAAAAGACTAAAAACCAATGGTCCTTCTGTCACCCCATATCCTCCTTTATCACAACCAATTGAAGGATTACCAACTCCAATATACTCGAGTGCCAAGGAAGAAAATCAATTAACAGAAATTACAGTCTTATCAAATGGTTTAAGAGTTGCATCTGAAAATCGATTTGGACAATTTTTTACTATTGGAGGTATTTTTATTAAAAATCACAATTATTAATTTAATCGTTTTTGTAATTTTGGTACCTTTAGCATCTGTATAAAAATTCTTTTCATTAAAATGTTTTAGTTTTAATTGATTCCGGATCTCGATATGAAGTTGCTTATCCGAGTGGTATTTCACACTTTCTTGAAAAATTAGCTTTTGGTGTAAGTTTTACATCTTTGTTTGTTACATTTCTTAGGCAAATTTGTTATCAAACATTTAATAATATTTTTAATCTATTTAATAATATTTTTTAATAATATTTTTAATCAGTCAACAAAATCATACGATAATAAGGATGATATAATGCTTACATTGGAAAAGCATGGAGGTATTTGCGATTGTCAAGCTTCGAGAGATACTTTTGTGTACGCTGCATCTGCCGAACGTCACGGATTAGATAAAGTAACCGAAGTCTTAGGAGATATTGTTTTAAGGCCTAAGTTAACGGAGGAGGAGGTACTTCAAATACATTCAAAGTATAATAAATCATTGTTTCTATCATTAAATTGTTTATTTCATTTCAATTTTAGATTAACACAGCTAGGCAAGTTATTCAATTTGAATTTGAAACACTTTTAACAAGACCAGAGCAGGAAACTTTATTATTGGACATGATTCATGCCGTATGTTTTATCGAGATCCTTTATTTGAATTATGTTCAAGTAAAATTTTCGTTACGTTTAGCCAATTGATTTTTTATTATTATCATTATTATTTATAGGCAGCTTATAGAGACAACACACTGGGATTGCCAAAAGTTTGCCCAGAAGGAAATATTAATAAAATAGATAGAAAAATTCTTTTCACTTACTTGAAGCATCATTACGTACCAAAACGAATGGTAATAGCTGGCGTTGGTGTGGAACATAAAAGATTGGTCGAAGCAGTTGAGAAGTAATTTCACTTTAAACTTAAGCATCAAATTAATCTATTGCACGAACGATTTATTATGACATGATTGCTATCATAACTGAACTTATGGCTAATACAATACCATATTAAAATGACTACAATTTCATAGATAATTATAACGTAATATAATTACTTTCAGATATTTTGTAGACAAAAAAGCAATATGGGATGACGATCCAACTTTTGTATCGGATAGAACAAATAATTTTGTGGATGAATCGGTTGCACAATACACTGGAGGCTACATTTTGGTTAATATAAATTTTTAATATTTCGATCTCACCGATTATCAATTTCCTTCAATTTTTTTTGCTTTTCGCCCAACAGGAAGAATGTAATGTTCCGGTGTATGCGGGTCCTAGCGGATTACCAGAATTGTCTCACTTTGTAATAGGCTTGGAGGGCTGCTCGCATCAAGATCCTGATTTTGTTACAATGTGTGTTTTAAATATGATGATGGGTGGAGGTGGTAGCTTTAGTGCAGGTGGGCCTGGGAAAGGCATGTACTCACGGTTATACATAAATGTTTTAAACAGGTAAGTTTATTAGTCGCAAACACTAGGCTGGACAATATTAAGTATAATGTACTCGTGGATAACTCTAGGTAACGAATGTACAATTAAATATCTTTATTTTTAGATATCATTGGTTGTACAGTGCAACAGCGTACAACCACGCCTACATAGATACCGGCCTTTTCTGTATTCATGCATCTGCCACTCCGTCTCATGTTCGAGAAATGGCTGAGGTTATTATTCATGAAATGGTTGCAATGTCAGGGAAATTATCGAGCGATGAATTAGCGGTAATTATCAATGTTTTTTAGCAAATTCGAGAATAATTCAAATGGAAAAATTGCTTTCGAAGGAAAAAACTGATGTGTTTGATGTTATATGAATTTTCAGAGAGCAAAAAAACAATTGCAATCGATGCTGTTGATGAACTTAGAGCAGAGACCAGTGGTATTTGAAGACATTGGTAGGCAAGTCTTAGCGACTGGCAGTAGAAAACGTCCAGAGTATTATATACAAGCAATCGGTTAGTAATGAACAAAATGTCCCCGTAAATATAGAGAAATATTGAGTGAATGAGGTTAAGTTTATGGGAATCTTAATTGCAAAATTTACATATATCAAACAATACTGTATTCTCTACTGTAATTACATTATAAAAGTGAGAAATATTGCGATACTCGTTTTAAAAATTTCAGAAAATACTACTATCGACGATGTAGTCAGAGTTGCGCGGCGCTTACTCAAGTCACCGCCGAGCGTAGCAGCCCGAGGCGAAGTCAGGCACGTCCCGTCAATTACAGACATTCAAGCCGGTCTATTGGATGCACAAGGTCACGTGCCAGGTTCCCGGAGCAAGCTATCGCTTTTTCGTTAATAATAATTTCGTCAGTAGATCAAAGCTTTCAAACTATGTTTCACGAACATTTCGTTATTTAATAAGAAAATGAAAATAATTAAATATGTAAGAGAATGACCGAAACTTACGATTTCAATAGTAACAAATATATTGACAACAATTTGAATATTAATATAAAATTAAATTTTATTCTTGTTATCTTGTCTATTTATTAGAGATGAATACTTGTATGAATTCTGCGCGAAAGATATTTTGTAATCCATAAAAAAATCCATAATAGTGCTGAGTGCTCTAGTGGACAAGGCAAATTGATTTAATGCAATATTCTCCAATTTCAGTTTTCATTCTCATTTATCGGTTGATGTGCATTTGAATTTTTTAATTGAAGCAAGCATGACATCTCCTGAAGTGTATTCTGTAACAATTTAATACATTTTATATGATTAAAGAGAACGTTATTTATTTTGTATAAATATTACCTGAAATTTCATAAAATTTTGTTCAAACTTGACACTTATGTAATCATTTGAATCGCTCTTTATATAATCAGCAGTTACGTCATCCTTGTCAAGTGAATCTTTGTCAAGTAAATACCATTCGATTGACGGCATTTTTATCGTTTCGAAAAATATTAAAAGTCCTGTTATATATATATTGCATAGCATGCAATGCACACACACCCACACACACACACACACACACACATAAATATTTAAGTCAAATATTTTATTACACATAAAAATGAAATTTATGAAATAATTTACTACTTGTTTCTTCAATCCAATAATTACAAACAGTCGAGTATATGACATGTATTCGTTGGAGTGAATCGTGTATACAATTTTCACACAATATATTTTTATCAGGGAATGATGACTGTTCAATCTTATTAATTAAAACATTATAATAACTCTAAAATATTTAATATATTATTACATAATAGTCGAGCAATGATTGATAATCGATTTGTTATATTACCGTTCCTCTGTCAATAATAATAGATAAAGCATCTTGAATGAATTTTACAACGGCAGCATAATTATTTGAATTATAATTCTGTTCGCTATTTGTAAAGCAATTTTTTTCATTTGTAGACAGTTTCAATTGTGTTTCATTTTTTGTGTTATTCTTTAAATTGTCCTTACTACTTCTAATATCTTCTGGTACTATAAATATAAAATTTATATTTAAAAAGTTTTTTAAAAAATTTTTTTTTTTTTTTTTTTTTTTTTTTTAACAAACAGGCCTTCTTACTATTAATATTTGGAATGGGCTCTTTAATAAAATGAAAACAATTCTGCAGGCTCTGTATTAATTTATTTAATGTTTTAATCAATTCATTCAATGATAATTTATTTTGACATTTTTCTATGAAATCAATAACTTCGTTCATTGTTGTATCATTCAATTCTTTCAGATATTTTACTTTTAATTCAACAAAATATTCACACTTTTTCGTGGCATTCATGATATCCTCTTTGACTTTTAGCTTTCCCATTGTAATATTTAAACTATAAAACAATAATTTGGAAAATTAAATAAATTTATCGAGCAACATGGAATTAATAATAAGGTGAAAATAAACCTATCCAAGACGGATTTTTCGATATTCTGTATTTCACAATTCGTTCCATCCGTAACTTTTTTTATTCTTATGCAGTTTTCAGATTTATCTTTCTGAATATCTTTAAATAATTGACTAATTTCTTTTTTTGCCAAATTTAATTCTTCGATAGTAAAATTCCCACCCAATTCAAAAAGTCTGTGTATAATAACCGATTAGAGAATATATTTTTATAGATTCTGAAATATGATTATTAAAATGAGATTTTTGAAAATAGATATGATTTTCTTACAGAATTCGACTGAGGAAAGATTCGTTATAATTTGTCATTAAAGAAGTTTTTTTCATCATGCGTTCTGAAGTGCAAGTGATCTTTAAAGTAATGCTATTTTTGTGCTCTTCTTTCAACTTTGTCAACTAAATAATTTTTTATTATTATTTTATTATCGCGTATTAACTAGGCTATCAAAATATAAAGATTATGACTTGTTTATAACAAACCATATTTATTAAGGACGTCACTTGACCGCTCGTTTTTATTTTTGTGCCGTCTTCTTTCAGCATTTGCGAAGACATTGATTTATAAGTGTCGATTATGTCGGTAAAATTCAAGAAAGTATCGGCGCATTTGGCCGATTCTTCTATCAATCCTGTAATCATCTATAAAATAGTAAATATTTATACAGACTGTATTAATTTACAATCTGTCCAAAATGTCCAACCTTTTTATGCAGCTCTAATTTATTTTGATGCTCTAATAATTCCTTTGCACGTATATCGTAGACTGTTTTGCAAATGTTGTTGCGCGATTTTTCTACAGACTTTAAATTATTTTCCAAACTTCGAGCAGCTTCGAATAGTAATTCATTCACCCAAGTTTCTACAATACTCATCGTGTCTTTCTCGAGCCAAGACTGATACGACGACATATTAATTAAAAAACTGAAATAATAAATTACCTATAATTATTTTTAACTTTTTATACAATTTATCTTGGCCATATTAATCTTCATTTTTTAACGCGACGATCCGTTTTATTAAAATTAACTCGCATCTTCCGCTCTATCGAGCATTACATGTAATTTATAATTTTGCAAACAATACCATAAAAATTAATAAGCAAAAATCTAATTCAATTTTATATAACAAATATATTTTTAATTTAAAAACTTAACAGACTTCGATTTCCACGTATCAAGAGAATCGGTTTGTCTCTCAATCAATTCCAGCTCCTGGAATATAATATCTTCCACGTTTATAATGTCCGAACAATCGTTATCAGATTCATACGAAGATTCAAGACTTTCAGCATATTCCGTGGGCATATTTATTTCAAGAAATTTATCAATTTTATTTTTCATAGATAATACTTCGGTTTTAAGCGTGTTCTTACATTTTTTGATTATACGACAATCCTCTTCGTAATCAGAATTAAATCTGATAAATAAAAACCGGTACATTCATTATGATATAATATAGAAAATATTGTATTATAATTAACCAATAGATCTAATAAGTTAGATCATCTTTAATGTAACGTAATAATTTATTTAATAATTTGTTTAAAGATATATTAATGCCTATACCTTTTATTTTTTCGATCTAAGATCGCAAATACTTGAACCAGTATCTTGTCTAATATTTCAATGCTATTTCCTTCTCTTAAATTTTTTATTTCCGCATCAATATTTTCTTGCAAATTCAGATGATACTGAAGACCTTTTTCAGCCCTATTTCCCAACTGTTTCATTACGGCGTTCTGTAGTTTTGCAAAACTAGCTAATTGAATATCCCACGGAGAGCCGAAATCGTTAAATATTTTAAATATCCCTTTGACTTTATATCTTATATTTTTTAAAATCAAATCGTTAGTATTATCCAATTTCGCTAGAAAATTTTCTATCCGTAATTTCTCGGAATTATAAATTTCTTCAGCTATTTTACTGCCAATTTCATCTATCGTTTCACTCATATCCTCTAGTTTTCGCAATTTTTTCAATTTATATCGTAATCTACAGACATATCTGAATATATATGTCTTATAAGAATTTATAAAATTTTTAATTATCGAATCTAAAATTGAGTTTAATTCATTTAAATATGGTATAAAAAAAAAAAAAAAAAAAGAAAAAAATTTAATAAAATAAATAAATAAATAAATAAAAAATATTGCATTTTTCGTATTTGTTACCAATTGACGATATTGCACAATCAAGCTGTTTAAATTGCTCCTCTAATCGAATCATAGAAAAGGGAATAGTTATATCCCATTTAGCAACAACTTCTGTAATTATACTTTTTCTACTTTTTAAACGATAGAATGCAGCTTTGCCTTCCATATTTTTTAAATACTCCACTCCAGCATTTTGCAAGATTTGATTCTCAACGCTAAGGATTAAGGCAATTAAGGCAATTAAGAGCGTTTATGCATTCAAGCTAAATACTACTGTAATTATCAACATACTGAAAATCATTTAGAGCAATTTTTCGACACCCAACAAGTTTATTTTTCTGTATTTCATTTATCCAAATGTAAAAATTTTGTTTAAATTCATCGACCGATGATTGTAATTTTAATTTCAATTTTTCATACTTGTTGTTATTTGTTATTACTATTTTATTATACTCCTAAGAAAGATAATAAATCTTATAATTATATTTGTTATATTGTGATTTTCTTACATTAATCGTACCCTTATTTTATTTTCCATTAACGTTTGTAAATCGCTGGATTTTAAGTATAATACATCTCGTAAAACTTTATAATATTTTTTAAATAGTTCTGCTGCATCGCTTCGATTTTTGCAGTCAATAGATTTTATATATTTGAAATATTCATCGATAAGTAATATTTCTTCGTTTAACATTAACTCAACAATGTTTTTAAATTTTTCATAATCCTTAAAGTCAGTACCCTCTACCTAATAAAATATAATATTTTTTATTTCCTCAATTATTAAGCTTTTATCAATCATCAATAATTACTTCACAAAAATTATTTTGTTTATTTTTGATACTCAGATGAATAGAATTGACTTTTAATTCCAAATTTTTTTTAAATTCTTGAATTTTTGCTTCGCACACATCACGCAAATTTTCCAATTCAATTTTCAAATTCTCAAGCGCCGCGTCATGATCAAATTTCTTATTCCGTATAATTTTGTCTATAATAGGCGAAGGCTTAGAAACGCTCTCTAAAATCACACAAATAAATATTTAGTCAATTCATTAAGCCATTAATGAATTATGAAATCCATTGAATCAACCACATTTACTGAATGTAAACGAAACTTGTTCAACGCTCCATACATCTTTTATGTACTCTTGTTCTTTTTTAGTTCGACGTCTTTTTACATCCGATTGCAAGTTTAGATAGGACTGACATTGTGCGATATCGCTTGATGAATCGCAACTGCTTTCATCTAAAATCTAAGAAGTATAATTTAGTTGAGCCAGCTTACTCGTCAGTAATTTAAATAGTTAATTTACATTAATATTAATCTTAAAATTCTCCATAATTGATATTAGAAATTGTATTGTTTTGCAATAAATGTTAATAAAAAATAAACAACCGCCATTTAATTGGGAACAAAATCTAATCATACATGATCTATGGCTTCATTCAATACTATCTTACACATAAAATGAAAATGATATAACCCACATTACCATAATTAAATATAACATAAATTACAGTGAAATAATATTTATATGAAAATCCATTGTAATAACACTAGTCGTAAATTATAAAAATATCTTCATAGTTTAATAAAATTTTTAACAACAGATTATCTTCGATGCATAATATTTTATTTCTCTTATATTAATGCACCCATATACATTTAGAAAATACATGGATGTTACAAAAAAAAAACACAAATCAAAGTGTAATATATGTCTTAAAGTACAGAATAAGAGACAGATAAAAATGTTTATGCTTCGACTGCTTTGAGTGTTTTGAGGAAGGATGCTTTCTTTTGTTCGACGCGATTCTTCCGCTCGGAGAGGGAGAGTTTTGCTTTGTTCCACCTCTTCTTCTTTGTTGGTTCTTTCTTTTCAGTTTTAACAGCATCTGGATTAGCACGAATCAATTCGTGAGCCTTTTTGTACATCGTCTCAATCTGAAAATGGTGAATTTATACAAATAGCTTACAGATATTTAAGGTTAATATAGAAGGTTTGAATTTCAATTAATCCTGTTACGATAACTAAAATTGTAGAGCTGTGTATTTCTACAAAGTTTTATTAGTAAACGTATTCGTGTTGTCCAACTGCGACGCTATGCAACATTATTTGTCATTACAGCAATTTAGTTGGACGTTATTCAAAAAATTAAATAAAGCCTTACATTATCAGCACTGATGCCATTTTTGATGTACTGTGAAAACTGACGTTTATATGCTTCATCGTCTTCTTCTTCTAATGTACGCATATAATTGGCAACATGTTGAGCAAAAATATGCTGACGATGTACACCGGCATTAAGAGTCTTGGTCTCGTTATTGTAACCAGGGAATCTTTTTAGACTGAAAATATAAAAATTACGTTGTAGTTTTTATACCAAATATCTATAAAATACATTTTATTTTAAATTTAAAAAATCAGAGACACTTTATAATCTTTAATACCTGTATAATGTCTCATTTTAAATTTGTAAAACACAAATAGAAAAACAAGACATTATGATGGCTCAGATGACGCGCATGTGTCAAAAATTCATCATAAATTACATTTTACATCTTATTACAAGTTATTTAAATGTTTGTATTACAGGAAGCAAAATTTATTGAAAAAATAATGTAATTTACTTGTGAGGAATGTTGAGTCCTCCATCGATCGCCCCTTTCATGGCACCAAAAATTCTGGCACCTGTGGTTGTACGCATGAGGCCAGTATCTAAATAACACTTGAACGCCGCTGGGCCCTTATCTACCTCTTCAACGTTATAACTACCACCGGTAGCTTCGACTATTCCAGTGTACAGTTTGTCTAGACCCAAGTTTTTGAGTAACTGAAATTCAAATCATAATCTATAAAATAATGTTTTCTCTTAAGGGATTGAAAGCATAAGTATATTAAACAATTGTTATTCAGATGTTAAAAATAGTAGGGAACAAGTATTTTGTCTTCAGTTATGTATCGAAGCGAGCTGAGTGGGTCATCATTTAACAATTTCTTAATGTTAAATATTACATCATGAAATAATCAATATACTTACTCTTCTAGCAAGGAGAAGTCCCGTGCAATAAGCGGACGCATAATTGGTAAGACCAACTTTGATTCCATATCTTTCAAGCTCGTGGCTGTATGCAGCGCATACAATCTTATCGCCTTCGATCCTAGAGTAGGCAACCTGTAAAAAATAAATTCTATCGATTAACATTTATAATACATCGATTCTGCTGTTGAAAAATCAATAATCAGTACGCTACCTGACACGTAATATCCTTGTTAGAAAGTCGAACGATTAATCTGTACTTTGGAGTGTTGTATTTATTTTTATCCTGAATGGTAAGTCGTTTTCTAGCATAGTAGTCTGTTTTTCCTTCACGACGCCTCTTAAATTTCACTTGGTACCTTTTAAAGTACTGCTTATTCTTTACAACTTTAACGAATCCCTGTATTGAATAAAAAAAAAAAGAATTTTAGTACAAAATTCATCAGATTTTATAATTATGTAAGATTTAAATATAAATTGCATTATTAGGAAAAGTATACAACAAGAGACGATACTAATATACTTTACGTTTACCTACAAATTTACGTTAAAACGTTGGATTCTAACCTTAACGGTGTATCATATGTAAACGTAATTGAAAAATATTATTGAAAATAACAAATTAAAAATTGCATAAACAATAAAACTCGAGACTATATATCTAAAATGAGCCCTCAAATTTCCTCCGTATGGATAATATACGGAAATTCAATCCTCGTGTATCAAACCTCTCCATCATCATTCAATACAATGCACATGAATCTTTTAACATCATGAAAGTTACGAATATACTTTCCAAAATAATTACACAGAATCAAGGAAGAGACAATAGCATCTATTATACTTCGTATATTTTTAATGTTTGAAGATAACATACCATATTCGATGAAAATTTTAAGGATCCGACAGGTAAAAAGTCTTCTGTAGCGCCAGACCAGCGCAAAAGGAATTTTAATCATTGCGGTAAGTCTGCACATGCGCATTGCCCGTTCGCTACATGCATCCGCTATTTTATTGTTAATGCTGACCGCTTGGGGACGTGCCGAGTGGATTTCCGATTTAGATTTTAAACACTTATTCCCAAAGAAATATTGCAAAATCTTACAATGCAAATTATAAAGAAACTATGAGAGGGACACTATTATTAAATAATTATTTACTATCGATTCCTTATACTATTAATTGAAAGGATATTTAATAAAGCAATAAGTCATCGTATATCATTGACAAATATACGTGTAGTGATGTTTTAGATTAATAAGCTAAAGAGTTATCGTTAAGACAAATTTTATTGATAAATTAATGAGATTGATTTACAATTAAAGAAACGTAAATAGATAAAAAAAATAAAAAATAAAAATAAAAAAAAAACAATAAGCTAAAGAAATAAAGATATTCGGGTAAATAAATTAAATTAAAAATCTAAGGCCCATAATTCGTTGATAGATCTAGATAAAAGAATTTTATTTTATAAATATTAAATGAATAATATATTTATAATTAACGATCAGAAATGGTATATTTAATTAATTAAAATATCTTTGATATTATAATAAATATTCTAGTCTAATGCCATGGTTACCTTGGTCTCCTTTATGGACTGAGTATGATTCAGTTATTTATATATCTTGTGAAATAAAACCAAAAATACAAACTATTTTAAAAGACACGACATTTATTTTTATATAATTTTTGATTATGTTTAAAAGCCATAACAAAATAAAAACGTCTTTACAATTCTATTAAAACGTCGGTGATTCGCAATCACTAAAGTATATTTGATTATTATTAAATGTCTGATTTAAATATAAAAAATGCTGATTTTACTATATGAATCGTTGCTTTTAATTTATGAACAAAATTGTCTTATAATTTTTCTAATTGAATTGAAAATAATCTCTTTTCTTAGCAATTTTTTACAATATCGTAAAGATTCTATTTCTTAAAAATTTATAGATTATTTATTTGTATAAAAAATCGAGACATTTATAGAGTTTTATGTCTCTAAACCAATTTTTATTAAATACGAATAGCTTGATAAATTGAATCTTTACTTCCATTCCTGCTCAATGTTTAAAAATTTCATTATTTCAAATTTTATTACATCAAATTTATAATACTTAAAACAATACTGTAATAGAAAACTCATGGAAACTTTTTTCAGAAAAAAATTTACAATCATTCGCATTAATTGTAATAGCTTTGTCACATTTTATCTACTACATAATTGAATAGTGCTTAATTGCAAAATAATTAAATACAAATTTGATAGAATTAATTTTTTCGAGGCAAAGAGTAATTTGTTTGTCCTAAATACGTTGTTCGGCAAGATTACTAGCTAAATTTATGTTAACCAATTTCAAATATTACGGCATACAATTTGTATGAAATTTAATTTCATAATTACCGTAAAACGATATTAACTGTCGCTCGGTAAATACTCAGATTTTATTTCATGTTGTACATATGTAAAAATTAAAACTATATCTTGATTATATGTGCCAGTATTAACGTGTCATGACATTTCATCATAACATTTCTTCAAAATATTTCTTCATTTTTTCGGACACAAAAGAATTTTGTCTATAAAAATTTAAAAATCTTAAATCTTTAAAAATATAGCGAAAAAATATTTTCCACTTTTTCTCGCTCGTCTTTTCATTTTGTTAATATACATTAGTTTATAGATATATACATACGTGTGTAAATGATTAATAATTTGCAATTACACAAATTTACGGCCATGTAGGTAAAAGCTATAATTAAGGTTGCACCTTATACAATTATGAGATAATCTCCCTGGAAAATATTTTCCGTTGACTCAGACTTTCCCTATACGGATATGCTGAAATGTCATTTTTGACGAGGTTTTTTTGAGTAGGTGGCAATGGTAAAACACATGGCCCGTTATTAAAAAGTACGTTAAAAAGAGTGAGATTCTCTTCCTCTCTATTTCAATTTCTGTCCTAAGCTAAACTATTTAATACTATGTTGATAGGTTTGACATCCATGCCTCTGCTGTTAAATTAACGACTGATGGCATTTTGACTGGGCGAGGGTGTAATCATAGTCACTACAAAATTTGTTACTTTTGTATCATAATTAAGTTAATGAACGTCACGATTCTGTCCTATTTCTCGATAATGAGATAAAAATAGAGAAGGTGAAGTGTGTGCAAAAGTTTCCTTGTTACCAGAATAATAACCGTAATTATAATATGCGAAATGCATTAGCTCGGATAGGCAATAATTTTTTGAGAATAATATATGCGGGCAAAGTAACAAAAATAACTGTATTGTATTTTTAATAGAACGTAACTTTCAATAATAAAATTATAATCGCATATTTCTATTATATTTCTTAATAAAAAATCATTTTTAATTTCACTATCTCCTTTACAAGTATTTTTCGATTCTTTCAAATGTACTTTTATGTAAAAATCTGTAAAATGTTACGATAAAAATAAACGATAAACACTAATTGGCAAATAGTGATAAAATAAAAATGTATGTAATTACTTTAATACTTTACTTTACAACTCTAACTAAGATAAAGGAAAATATAGAAAAATTAATAGTCGTAAGATTAAATTAATATCATTTACATTATAAATGTTGGTGATGTATTGGCAATATTCTTTTATACCCTAAACTTGAACTCTAAATGAATAAAAACACTCGTAGTAATACAATTAGAATGATGTACAAAATTTAATCTTTCATGAAATCTTAACTACATCATTCTAATATTTATAAAATTAAATGCATTTAAAAAATCTAATGGTTCGATAGTTCGACTTCGATAGCTGATAAGTTGTTTAACCACCTTCAACCGCATCGTAACAAAGCATAACATTTTAAACAGATAAATTAACATATACTTACCCCTAACTGTTGTAAATTGTTTAAAATTTCTGCGGTAAGTTCTGTAAAAATCCATCAAAAAGACCTCATACAAAACTTAAAATTACTATTTCAAACATTTTCGCTTATGTTTCATTATGATCTTAATTGTATGATGCTTTACTGGCTCACTCGTATCTCATTTTATCAGAAATCTACTAAATCTTGAATAACATTACTATTAATTAATAATATTTTTCTAGTAGATGAATAATACACGTGCAATTAAATTTGATTCCTTTAAAATTTTGATATTATTTGTTGAAAAGTGTCAACGTTACATTTACTTTGGTCAAACGAGGCAAATAAATATGCATTATAGATTAATAATCTGTCCTAAGTTTTCAAAATTATATGATTTTTGTTGCATAATATCCGAAATTAATGATAGATCGTGAGTCTGATATTCTTGGTCAAATTAATATTTTTCTCGTATATATATATATATATACATTATATACATTGTTTAAAGGACAATTTTTTAAATAAATTCCAATAGAATTCTACAAGCAAAACTTGAATATATATGTAAATAATTTTTTTTTGTAAAATTGAGCTACAATATTTATTTCCAAAATGTTTATATAATATTGTAAACATTTCTTATTGAAGTACTGATATTACCGCTGTCGAAATTAAATGATAATCATTTCGATTCGTGTATTTAAGCGCAAGACGATTACTCGACGCACAGTTACTTTATTATACACATATCTCATTATTTTTAAATATAATACAATTTCCGAAAATAACAAAATAACTCGTATTTAAGCTGTTTGCAATATACAACATTGCTTTTTTCTATCTTTGCATCAATGTTAATATCGATATTATAAAAATATAATAAATGAGAAAATACAATTTTATGCGAGGAAAAAAAACGAACGATTAACTGACTGTTCGACTGAATGAAAAAACACCTGCTCCGCGCATTAGATTATTCACCTACAAATTTGCCGCTTCGTCGATCGGTAAAGAGAATTTCTTACTTAACGCCACCGGTGGGAGTCCGTGGTAGACAAAAATGGGCCAATGAATCCCCTCGTTTCAACGGGCAAAATAAGCAGCGAGGATCTATGGATAGGAGTACTTTGCCTTATTTCTAACCTGGTGTTTTTGCTGAAATAATACGAGCCTCGACTAATAAGGAAAAGAAGCGAAAAGATGCCACTGCCAATTTTTCAATGTACTAGTCGCCGAATTTCCTTTAATCCCTGTTCTTCCCCTCGGCGACCATTCCATTTCATTTTCCCCGAATGTGCATTTCCACGCCTGTCAATTGTGAATTGATAGAACAAAAGTAAATTGACGTGGTGACGGCATCCGATCGCCTCACATTCGCAACGGAAACAGCCCGCGCGCGCGCGAGAGAGAGAGAGAGAGAGAGAGAGAGAGAGAGAGAGAGAAAGCGAGCGAGAAAGAAGATGGAGAGTCAGGGCCGGAAGCAACTCGGCAAAATCCTTAGCATTACGGGAATTTTCATTTCTGAAATTACGATGCGTTACTTTCGGTATAAATAGTTGTCGATCATACTAACACTGTTGTAATAATTTATCTAGTTTTTCTTATTTCTAGACGCAAAATTCGTTTCCCCTGAAAAATTCTAGCATTTTCTAATATTTCTTAAACTCATTATTACAAATTACGAACTTACGTATTTATATATATATATATATATATATATATATATATATCATTTATATGTATTTCAAAGGTCGTAATGGCTCGTTAAAAAGTACAGAGCAATTGTGTTTGTATTATCCTTTCTTAAATAACGTTACTGCGGTATGTTCGAAAGTGATAATTTGCAATAACGATTAAGGGTTCGTTGCATTACTTTACTGTGTAACTCGCAGCATGGACACGCGATGGATATGTGTAAGATTCGTTATGTATAAGTGACTTGAAATGCAAAAAAAAAAAAAAAAAAAAAAAAAAAAAAAAAAAATATTCTTTACAGCAATATTCCCGGGAATTAAAATGGAATAAAAATTGCAAACGTAATGGCTTAGCAGCTCTTTGAAGTGCCAATAAAATTAAAGTAAATATTCGTCTGGCCAGTTTCTTTTGTTAAGCATTCTATTGTGAATTCGTGCTAATGATAATAATGACTTTACCGTTTATAAGTAAAAAAATGTATCCAATTTTATCATCTCATAATATTTTATTTTAAGATTAAGCTAGAAAGTTTGTTTAAGTATCATTTACTCACATTTCAAACGGATCGGCAAATCATTTATTATTTTCATGTTTGTAATATTGAAATAACAATGGCATTACCGGCAAACCAAATAACTGTAATTACATTTAATGCTTTTCGTCGTAATATCGTCAGTACATTTGTGTGAGTTTACAATACATGTCATTTCGGTCTAAAACGTATTATTAAACTACAGCAATTAACATTTATATTTAATTTGGAAATTATTTTTGAAATTGTTAACGTCAATGTCAAATTCAATATTTAAAGTTAAAAATATTTCATAAGAAATGGCTTCGTTTGCATCTTGTAAGGAGGCCGAATTAAAAATATTTGCTAAATTTCGGGTTTCCCAGTTTTCAATTGCATTGCCTACTTACTCGCGCGTAATTCTATCTAATAATTTCAATATTTCCGGCTTAACTTAACGAAGAAGTATAATTTAACAATCCTGCATATTTATAAGAACAAATAATTGATACACAAAACGTCATGTCATAATAGTGTTGTTGTTTTTGTTGTTGTTAACCACATATTATTATTATTATTATTATTATTATTGTTGTTATTATTATCATCATTATTATCGTGTCATTTAAAATATGATGAATATTTCTAACAGTTGTGAAAATGCACTTAATCTAGATTCAATCTAAAAATTCAAATACTGTCCTACTCTTCCGCGAGGCAGAAAATTCTCAGTAATTCAATTTTAGAATTCAGAACAATTTCATTTCACAATAGGGTCACATAAGTGAAAAATATTTGACAATTCATTTAAACGAAATAATATACAATTTTACATTAAAGGACTATTGATTTTTTTCCTCTGCTTTAAAAAGTCCATACTCTTTATGTTGACAAAACATCAAGATTTGTCCATTTATTTCCATCGTAGTATACAAATTAACTATCAATTACTTTCATTCTACTTTCAAATCTAATGAAATTTTTTTATTATAAAACTTACTTTCTTGGCACTATTTTAACGTATATTTCAACGTATTCCTAACCTTACGCCAAGAAGCATTTTTTTTTTTTAGCTAATTGCGAATGGCTCTTAATCAACTAATAAATAATTGCCTATAAATGATAAATGACGTGTCTCGAGATTTTATTAATTTCGATCGATATAAAATTGTCGTATGGAATGTGATAACGAGTTAATGGGAAGTTAATAATCTGTTGATAATATTGCTGTATCCTAAAATCCATGGACGCTCAATAGGAAACAGTGATAATACGGCACGTGGAGTGTCGTTTACCGAGTCCTGCAAAGCCTCGATGATGATACATCGAACTTCAAATGCCCCTCTACTCGACGCCTTTAACAACGAGATGAGAGCGACTCCGATTTTCCAGGGTCATCCTCCAGCCTCTTCTTGCCCTCGAATCAGCCCACGGGAACGTGGAACGCCCGTCCTCCCGAGCATCTTGCCCAGTAATAACGGTCCTTCTCTTCGGTTGTTCGTCCAGGATCGGACTGACCTCCTCCGACCCAATCGAACCCGAACCGCGCGGGTCTCGTCCGCGAGCGCTACGGCCCTGGTCACATTAGCCGCTGCTGCCGCCGCTGCTGTCGCCACCGCCGCCGCCGCCGCCGCTGCCGCTGCCGCTGCCGCTGCCGGGGCCGCCACCGCCGTCGACGTCGCCGCCGTCGCCGTCCCCAACGCTAGGAAGAGAGGCAGAGAGGAGCCGCTCGAGAATCGTAGTGTCGCCTACGGGCGCAGCAGCGCGTCCGCCGCAGTTTCCTCTCGGATATTTTCGCGAGAGGAGTAGCCGGACGGGGACGTGTGATCGGCGCGTTCTCCTCTCGCGGACTCCGTTGGTCATCGTTGTGCCGTCACCGTCGCCGCCTCTCGAAGCCAAGCCGCCTCTGCCGCCGCCGTCGCCGTCGCCGCCGCCGCCGCCGCCGCCCCCCTCGGAGGATCCAGCAACATGTCGTACGAAACCAGTGAGTGTGCGCTCGTCTCTGGGTTAGGGGCCCGGTCCCCGTGACCGCACCCTTTCGAAACTAAGCGCGCGACAAGACCGACGCGTCCGGAGGAGTGTCAGCCTCTCGGCACGGCTAGCCACAAGGTCGTGGACGCGGTTTCGCCGAACGAATTGGCGATGCTAGAGCGTC